ATATTAAACTCTGACATGTTTGTTAAGATCAAGTCCTTTGATTTGGAAGGTTGGGATGAGGATCTGAAGTTGTCAGTATTTGTTGCAGAGATGTTTCTGAGGTTTTGGGGAGCATTCCCTTTGGATGTATTCAAATTTTTCAATTTAGATATAATACACAGAATGTGTCATCATCTGCGGATGTGCTGAGAGTGTGTTCTCCCTATTCTGGAAATAAAATTAGTTGAAAATTTTTTAGTATGAAGGCACAGAAAACTAGTATAGAAACTACATCCTAAATAGAAAAAATATGTCTAACAAAGTGAAATTTGCATGTTCCACATACATATTCTTCATGCATAACTATACATTATGTGACTTTCTTCCAGATTCTTTGATATCTCCATTTGTAGACATACACAGTTAGTAAAACCCATTCACAAGAAGTTTTCATTTGAAAATGAAAACAATGTTCAGTACTTCATTTTCATTCTCCTCAGGAAAAGACGTGGAAGTTACAAATGCTATGAAATTATTAACTTCCTTTACTGTGATATATAAAAGATTCTTTTGTCTACTGCACCATTGATAATGTGAACTCTCTAACTAAAACTGGTTTTCAAGTTTTTCTCAGGTCAAGTGTTATGAAAACAGTCATTGAGAAATAAAAACATTGGATGCTCTATACTATAATCTTTTTAGCTCTAATTGTGCTTAATTTCAATATTTTGTTCCATGAAAAATACTGTGAAGGTAATCAGTAGTTTTCAATAGTCACAAAACTCAAGTGCTCTGTAAAAAAAGGTCAGAGCATCTTTGCCCACAGGAGTGTCTGCTCATTTGAGGTGTTCTTGAATTTTTGTGTTAACATACAAAAACACTAGAATTTTTTGCTCACTCCTTTCTCAGCTCACTTTCCTTGGGTAGTTTGGACAAAATAGCTAATATATGCCACAGCAACTGTAGCAGGAAACATGACATTTCAATCTCCATTTAGCTAGAATGTGGATGTCATATGGACTTTTAAAAGGTACATGGACAGAACTTAATTACTTACTCGGTATTTCGAACATGACTAGTCAAACTGACTATATACTGAAATAAGGACAAGTAGATAAAATAAAATTCTGCTTGTTTATTTTTTGGCCCACTGTGCTTCATTAAGCATTGCCAACAGAGAATCAAAATAAGGCCTAAGCATCAAAGACAGAACTTTCAAAAGCACAAAAATCAAGTAATACATAGAAGGACAGATACATAATTGAAATCTGAAATTACCATAAGTCTACAAAATTAAATACACTCTTTACAAAACAGAGTTTACAAATGCTTAGGATTTTGCTTTTTGGTTTTTTTTGAGAGGGTTTCCTTACACAGCTAAATAAAGAAACCACATTCTTAAACCTGAAGAGCTCAGCTTTATCACATTTTAGCAAATCCCATCTGACACTTACATATACAACTCAAAAAACACAGGGATCCTTCCACAATTAAGTGATCTTTACTAAAAAGGGTCCAAGAAACTTTTTCAATTGAAACTATTTAACTGTTTAAGCTGCAACAGCCCCCAAATCAGTGAATATTTGTCTTCCAAGGAGACATAGGCTCTGCTTCAAGCACACATTTCAAAACCTGGATGCAAATAAGCAATTAAAAGGAAACTGCCAGAGGCTTACTTGATCATAATGATGCAATCTTGGAAAAAAATCCCAAAGTACATGCTCCCTTCCCAAAAATTTCCTCCAAAACCAAGCAAGTTTTTTCAGGCTCCTTGATATTTTGATTTAGATTCTGAAATGATAATCAGTTTCAGTTGAGATATTATTTTAAAATAAGAAAGCTGATTTCATTTGCTCAGCTAGATCTAAAAAGGATAGATAATTTCTGATATAAATCTTTTGAGATACAATAGTCATTTATAATTAATTCAGTATTACGTGTGTATTTCAATCTTGAGAAGCCTGTAAAAGAACAAAAATTCTACAAGTGCAATGAAACCATCACCACTATTTTAGTTTTAGCTTAAATATTAAGCATAGATTGGCTGAAAGACTATTCTAAACTCCAGAGAAACAGAAGTTATGTGTTTCATTGAGTTCTTTTACTAACAAAGAGAGGAAGAGCAATGAAAAATTTTTGTAATTCAACAGTTATCCTAGTTGCACTTGCATACATCATATTTTCAGAAAATCTGAATCCTATAGGCAGGAAGAAATGCTCAAAACTCAAAATCCATTAAACATATGGTGATTAAGTAATGAATAAGGACTGTCCAAAACCAATAGAAAATATCAATTATCTCTATTCCCTTATTAAAATATCTTTTAAGTCTAGTAGCGTTTCTTCTAGTATATTCAACAAGAATTAAGTCAGAATATTTTATTATATCAAGCAAAACTCATTAAAATTAAATTAGATCTTTATGAAATGGCAGAGAACCATAATATCCACATACAAATATAGAAAGACAACTCAGAAGTATGGCACTTACTTTTTTAACTATAACAAGAAAGTTTAGATCACTCTATCAGTACATCATTAGTGGCAAAAAAAATGCAGTGATTATTTTCATCACAGCTCCGTTAAGAACTTTTCTCTGTTTCTTGGAAAAAATGAGCAAGCATGGAGTTAATCAACACAGTCAGTAACTGCAAGTCTTTAAAAAACTAAGGTCCTCATCCCTTGAATCTCTAAGTGTAGCTTCTGTAAATAAGAATAACTCAACTGCAATTACCAATAGTTCACTCCTTAGATTGTTGAAAAATACCACACAGAAATCTGTCATAAACCCCCCTTTGATTAAAGTGCCAATGAGAAACACATTGTGGGACAGTATGTACCAATATAGATTGTTGTTAATTGCCTTCTGCTGTTACATCTTTCCACAGTAGGTCAAATTGTGGTCTCACTTATGTCACTGTAACCTCAGTGAAGTCAATGATTTGCATGGGCATTAGAAAAAAGATTTGAGTATTTAACAGCCAGAGACGATGTAGTTTGATGTGTATGAATGAGATCCATCTTATCATGCATATGATATACTTTTCAATCTTCATTCTAATTTAAAAAGAAAATGTAAAGCAGGATTCCTAGAGATATACAGTATCAGCATTCTTTTTCAGAATTATGAGGGAATAGTGTAGTACATCTTCTCCTCTAGAAGCAGATTTACCTGAGATTCTAGAACAAACTTTTTAAAACAAAGCAAGCCCATGTGGACCCTTGGAGTGCCATAGGAATGGAGGGAGCCAAAGCAGTAGGAGATCTAATTGGAAAAAAACCGAATTGGTTTTGTTTGTTGTGACTGAACATGTAAGGATCTTTAAATTTTAGGAATCATGCAGCCTTTTACCTCATATACAGCTCCCTGCATCATATATAGTTATAGAATGCCTGGATTGATAGTAATGGAAGATGAATCTTTAAAGATGACAAATTTTTAGGGGACATGTAAGATAGCAATCTGTATATCCAAAATTGTATTTTCTGTTTGATTATCTGCCTTTCTATATAAGATATGCTCCTTTTTCAGACTACTGTCAATTCTCATATTCTCACCTTATCTTTCAGCTCTTGTGTAGTCCTTCTCTCTGGCTAAAGAGTACAAAGTCTCTTTATATTAGACTTCAGAAAAGAAAACAAAAATTATTTTACTCTTCTTCCATCTTTTTCTTTGACTGTGCCATGGTCTTACTAAATACATTACATATAAGAAAAAAAAAATATGTAAGTTAGAAGAAATCTGGAAAGCACATGCAGTTTAGCAAAGAGGAATTGTTTGTGTTGTTTGCGAGATCATTCCTGCAGAAACTAAAATGTAAGAGAAAATGACATGAAATTTGTGTTTCATAATCACAGTCTCAGTCTCTAATTTTTCCCTTAGGTGTAGCCTTCATGTTCTCTTTTTTCTTTTCTTTATTTTTTTTTTAATTTTTGCACAAACACAGAAAAGGATCCACTTCTATTTCATATCTCTTAGCATACCTGCCTTTGGTGATATTTCTTGCAGCTTCTGTAAGCTTGGAATGCCTTCCAGAAAACTAACGTCAAGATGGATGGTAGAGACAACAAGTATTTTTATTAATACTCATTGCTATCTTCTGAGGTTTTTAATCAATGAATTAATGGAGGAGTGACATCAGATGCTGAGATCAAACTATGAAACAAAACAGCTGCTGAACAAGCAGAAAATGCAGAAGAGATGGACTACTGCTGTTATTAGTTGTACAGGTAGAGAAAAAAATGACATTGCTTCTAGGCAAATGTAATAAAGCTGAACACAAGACTGTAGGGGAATGCTATCAAATACATATTCATTCCTTAGGCACAATGGAAACACAATCATTTGCTAATATGAATAGTCATAACCCCAAGTAGTTTAACAGAATTGCAGCAATTCAAATTAATTGGCTTTCTTCCGAACTTCCTAAAAGTCACTGCCATAATGGTAATATTTTCCAGAGTTTCTGAACAATTGGTACTAACTGGATGCACCAAATGCTGCAATGTACAAGAACAAAAAGTGAGGAGGGTCAGCATTGCACAAAATCTTTTGTAGACTAACAGACACAGCAAAGTAAATTGAAACTGAGGAGCATTTCAAAATCCACAATGCTTTGAGTCACAGGCATTGGATTATGAGATTGGTTCTGAAGTATGAAACACCACAGAAGCTACAGAAGCACAGACCATCTAAAAAAAGTATCCACTTTTTGTCATCGTTATCTTTTTATGATAAATGTTCAGTCTGTTCAAAGGTAGACTCACAGGTTCTCAAGAAAACTAATTACTGATGTGAATAGTAGTGCCTTTGCTGTGAAAAAATCCACATAGCAGGTGTTGATGGAGATAAAAAAGTATGTGTCTAGCTGTTCTCCACATTGAAAGGGAAGTGATAAAACTGTTTTGAATTTCTATTTGTTTTTGTAAAAAACTTACAAATTTTGATAGAAAAATATTTTTAAATTTAAAATAGCTGATAAAGTTCTGCAATTTTAGGTCATCTGTTATCCTATTTTTGGCTGGGACAGAGTTAATTTTCTTTCATGTAACTGGTACAGAGCTGTGTTTTTGATTTAGTGTGAGAGTAATGTTGACAACATAGTGATGTTTTGGTTTTTGCTCAGTAGTGTTTTCTCTAAATCAAGGACTTTTCAGACTCTCATACTCTGACAGCAAGCAGGTGCACAAGAAGCCAGGAAGGAGCATAGCCAGAATAGTTGACTCAAACTAGCCAAGCAGATATTCCATGAAATAAACTGTCATGCTCAGTATATAAATTGAGGGGAGTTAGCTGGGATCTGCCAATCCCTGCTCAGGGATGGGCTTGGCACAAGCCAGCAGGTATTGAATAATTCTATCCTCCATCACCTTTTTCCTTGGGTCTTATTCTTCTCTCTCCTTCTCGTTATAGTTTATTATTATTATTATATTTCACCTTGTTTGAATTATCAAACTGTTCTCATCTCTACCCGCAGGTTTTACCTTTTTGTAATTCTCCTCCCCATTCCATGTGGGAGGGGAGACTGAGTGGATTGCTGAGTAATGCTGAGTTGCCAGCAGGGGTTAAGCCACGACAGCTGTACAAATGGTGAATATTGAAGAGTACTTCAATTACATCATCATACTGGGCTCACATTATTTACCCTGGGATGATAACAGAGAGTATGTAAAGATGCACCCGAGACCAGTTTCATTATCATTTGAGCCATGTCAAGGTTAATGTCAATGGATGTTCAAGAACTGTGTTGCAGCAGTCTCTGCCTGGAGCTCCTTTTTCTGGGAGTGCTTTCTCCTACATGGCTCAGCTGCTGTTCAAACATGAGGAGCAGAAGAAGCATCTGAGCTGTTAACAGAGAAAGAAAACAGGCTCTTTACAGCCAATGCTTTACCTTGATGTTAAGGTAGCTTAAACTGATAGCTGTTTCTACTACTATTAAAAAATAACCTGAAATAACCTTTTTTTCTCTGAAAGGAGAGAAAAAAATCTAGAAAAATAGAATTAACTTCTATTACGTAGTGGGATTGAAGACAGGGAACCAAACCCAACATAACATTTCGTTATTGAGAATTTACTTTGTAACAGCTTTGGGATGGAAACCAGTCATTTGACCCTGCATAGCAGTGTGTTTTTCTCGTGAAAATATCAGATATCATGCCGTATTTTAATGAGTTTGGAGGTAAAGCACTCTGTGTGTGTGGGTGTGTGGGTGTGTGGGTGTAGGTAGTTTAAATCACACCATTACTGAACAAATATAGGAAGTAGTATTTGGGATGTTAGTATCCCATGTCTTTCTGAAATACATTCATTTAGGAAATTGCAGAAGCCATAAATAACCCTGTTGAGAATGATGTCTTGAGAGAATGGACTCATTCACATTCACACCATTTTGACTACAAATCAATCCCCAGACACCCCACCTTCCTCTGAAGTCTTAAGAAAATCCCTTTGTAGTCAAGTAAATTATTGCAAAATCTACAGTCTGCAAGGCTTTTCAGCACAGTCTTTCTGATGCACAGAAGACTGCCACATATGAAGTACAACAAACCTTACACACATATTTTCTTATCTGAGCAATAACCAAGAGGTGTCTTTACACTTTCAATGATGGAAAGGCAAGAATAAATATTACACTGGATGTCTGACAGCTAGTATTAAAATCAAGGCCAACTGCTGTCCCACAAAACTGGCAGAGTCATTTAGCTTCAACTTAGCTTATTTCTGATTATTCACATTTTTCTAAGAACATGAAGCTCGTGTAACTTTTTTTTTCACGGTAAAGGCAATCTTTACTGGAATTTTTACTAACATATTTTTCCCAGCATAATGGAAATAAAAATACAAAAAGCTAAAGACATTCATTAGCCTTCCAACAACAGACAGAAGAAAAATTACCCTGTTCTCTGTTTCTCTTTCAGAATAATGACAGCAAGGAGATGCTCAAGATGCACATGTGGGAGAGAAGGTAGAGACTGATGTTAAAACTGTGTGCCTAAATACACCCTATAAAAACCAAATCACGTGAATTACAGTTTATCATCTAAATAAATGTTTGCAATCCTGTCAGACTTCAATATAACCACACAGCCAGGAGTTTCTCTTCCAGGGTGGTTTTTCTTTCTTTACAGGCTTTAAAATTCTAGTAAGAGTGAGTTCAATCACTTGGAAAAAAACCCTACCATGTACATGTTATCCAGTGTTGCAACTAGATCTCATCTGTGCTGAACTTCACTGCTGCACTTCTAATTGCATTGGCAATGTCTTGCTTTGCATTCCACACTTATTCAGCAGTCAGTGCCTTCAGTTTTGCTACCTCTGAGATCTAAGTCTCTTGTCCTTGCAACTTGGCTGAAGTTGAACTCTAGAGCACGGTCTCTTTATTCATTGATGTTGTTGTTCTGCTGTTTAAAAAAAAAAAAAAAAAGAGAGAGGTACAAGCTGAGGGTTCAATTACAGAGGGCAGTTGCATTGCCCCAGGGGGTGGAGAAACCTACAAACTGTGAATCAGAGTTACAATATGCCTCCTATTTCTCTTCTTCTATAAAGTCATTGATGTATCCCCCTACACCACCCCTATACTTAATTATATACTAAGGCATGTATAATTAATTAATTATACATGCTCTGATACAGCTGCACCGGCCATAACACTGGGAGGGGAAAAACTGAGTCTACCACCTGTGCAAGAGGGGAAATAATAGCTCTATTGAGGCTGTCTTTGACTTCCTTGATGTACTGTTCCTAGATTAGAACTTTAAAAAAAGAAAAAAGAAAAGGGAAAATGTTAGAAAGTAAGCACTTTTTCTAGAAGCTTATTTTATTTTACTGGGCTTCCAATCAAACTTTTGGTTTGAAAATCATGTGTAGATGTAAAAGTAGTTTGTCTAGCAGGATATACATTTTCTCTCAAGGGATGTCTGACAATCTGTTAACACAGTGTATAATGGAGAGAGTAGGGGGCAGATCACAGGCCAGATTGTTAGCTGGTATAAAAGAGGTGTTAATGCCATTGACTTTAATGGGGCTACGTCAATATCCACCAGCTTAAGATTCTCTGTATCACAGCCCACAGACCACTTGCGGCTTGCAAGGCCTTTGTGTTCAGTCCACAAAGGGACTTTTTAATTGTGGCTATACTTGACAGAATCATAAAAATGTACTATTATCAGTTTACCCAGCGATTCTCTAGCATTCCTAAGGATTAACCTCTCTCTTTGGAGGCATACAGAGTTGTGAGAAAACCTTCTCAGCTAAATCCAAGTTCAATTCAGAAGTACCATTTGAAACTTTCATTAAACCATTTATATTGTGATAACTTAGTTTGAACACATGCTGTCTCAAGTTATTAGCAAGGAAATTTGGCTGTGAAAATGTCACCTTTGAGTGTATTAAGAAAATATGTTGATTTTTTTTAAAGAAACTTTTTATATGTAATGTATCACCTTATAAATGTAAGAGAAAAAGCAACATAATTAGTGTAAACTTTATAATGCTGTTATCAGACAAATGTCTTATCTGTCAAGGGTGCCAGCATGAACAAAATTTTCAAGATTCCTATTTTATATTCTAATTAATTGAAGTTCAGTAAAATATAGAAACTACTTAACAAGGAAATTTTGTGGCATGGAAGTCCTGACATTTGAAAAAAAAGGTGGCCTTGCTCTCCAGAGGTCTGTAGGAAAATAAAACTGAATGTCTTTGTGCAACTAGAATTACACTGCATAGAGTTTGAATTCCTGCCATGTTTGCTTATTCTTCCTAAAGAATAGCATTCACAATATTAAGGACTTAAAAGACACACTAGAGCTCTCCCATGTTCCCTGCATCAGTTTTTCCTCCCCTCCAGATCATGCCTAATAATAAAAACATAAAGGATGATCACTTTATATTAAGTAGTTGTAGGGGTTTTGTGGCAAATATCCTTTAATGCTTCAAGCTTAATTTTATAGTCTGCCCCAGACTCCTCCACTGAGTAGTAAAAAATCCTTTTATTTTTTTTTTCCCAAATAAAAGCTATATCTGCATATGTGAAGACTAGAGAACAACTGGGCCACACAGAAATTATCAAATATTGTGCAAGTTGGTGATATCAAAATTGTTTATGTTGGAATAACTTTTCCTCAAGAGGTGGGTGCACTTTGGCAGTCAGTGAAATGATCCCCAGATACCCATGACTCCCATTGCTGTTGATATATTCAATATGTACCAAGTTGTGTACACTGAACACACAGATGTCAAAAGTTGATATCAGTGGGGAACAGATAATCCTCTAAAGGCAGAATGAGTCAAGTAATTTTGTTGAATTTTCTCAAAGTTGCACAAAATTCTTGGTCAGTATGGCAAAAAAACCAGGATGGCAAAAAATTACTGCTATTAAGAACAGTGTTATCCTAACATAAGAAGTATAAAAAATAAGAAAAGCTTATCACAAGAATGCTAGATTCCTGCAATTATATTTTCCTCAAATTTTTGGTTTTCTTTTAAATATCCAATGTTACCTAAATTTACTCTAGAGACTAGTGTCAATTTTAATTTCTCTTCATTTTTTGCCATTAGGGTGCTGATGTCTAATATAACACAGAAAGAATATTTGTTGTTTTTTGTCTTTCTTTAATATGTTGATATTGAAAATAATTAATTTACATAGCTGTATATCATTCAGAAAATTTTCTCAATGCTCAGATCCAGAGAGAAAATTTGGCAGGATAATCCTAAATTTTCTTCCTAGCATTCTTTGTACATGCAGATATTGATATCAGTTGAGCACACTTAAGATAGTCAATAAAATTTACATGCTTTCAAAAGTACTTTGGTCTTCAAGTAAACAATTAAAATCCCTAGAAATAGCTGTCTGTAAACAATGTTATAACAAAATTTCTTCTATTATTGCTGCTTTATGCACACCTTTTTCTTTTTACTCCAGATTTATGCTATAATTTCTTCCTGTTCTAGCAGCAGAAAAAATTAGCTATATTAGTATTTCAAGAAGAAACTAACATCAAATAAACAAAAAAAAAAAAAAACTTTTGTACATTATAATACATAAAAATTTGTGCAAAAATTAAGAACTTTATCTTTTCAGTCTGTCACACTTTGCCTGTAGAGGTAAGAGAGTTTTGAATGCTGTCTGGAGCAAAACATGAACATAAATTCTGAGCTGTTTTGTTTAAGTTGCTACTGTTTAGTAGCATGCATATATTTCTTTTCTTATTGTCAAAGACAAAAATTGAAACCGAAATCAAGATGAAAACTCAAATAAACTCAGTCAGAATTTTGAGTCGAGTCAAGCAATTCCTAGCACCTAAGATTGGATGCAAACAACTTATTCCACTTGTCATTCGACTTTTCAATGTAAAATAAAGAACCCTCCCATTTCAGTGTTTCCCATTCTATCAAGCTAGATAAAAAAGGGAGTTGACTATAGTAGGTAATGAACTGTGTACTTCTTTATGCAATTAAAGTACTATTAACAGTGCTGAAGACTGTTCCAACTTATGTAGAATATGCAATATAAACCAGAGAAGATCTCTGATATTTTAAGTCCAGGTACATCTACTGAAGTCTTGTATTGCATAAGAGAGTACTTGTAAAGCAAGAAGTAGTAGACTGTAAAAGCTGGCGGCGTGACTTTCCAAAATTTACAGCACAAAAAGCTTTCAAGAAAACCCCAAAGAGAGTTGGTGTTTGAAATCTTTTTCCCTTCTGTGGTAAAAACATTCCTAACCATGTTACTTTCTTAGTTGTATCTGGTTTTCATCATATCTCGAATGATGCAATGGAAAGAAGATTCTAAGCACAAATACTGGGCCAATTATTTATACAGCCATACTTGTGCAATAGTGTGTAATTCTCATTTTTCAAAAGTGAATTTTTTAAGAGGCTTTCTACCTCAGTCCAGAAATCCTCAGTTCAGTTTCCTTCTTTCAGTCCTGTAGCAATTTGTAGGGTCGGTGTATATATGCAGAAAGACAACATTCCAGAACAAGGCATTTCAAAATGGCCTTTACATTCCTGTTAGCCTTTCAACTACTCTGTTCCCTTACTCCTTTACCAAACACCTACATTTTTCTTTTTTTTTTTTTCTCTTAAGAATTATATTCCCCTTTTTAAATCTTGCTTGCCTTTTGAGCCAGCATCATTTGTTTACATGGAGTCTTCTTTTGTCAGAGACTCTGATTTTCCCCTCTGTTTTCTGTGACTTGTGCTTTCTTCCAGTTAATCTGTCTCAACAGCAAATTTGCACTCTCTGAGACAAATAATATCTTGATTTAATGTTAACTACTGGAGTAAATACAACACATTTTGCTGTTCATAAATGTTTTCAAGAGGGCCACTAGTAGGTTATAGGCTCTAAACACTCTTTATAGGATTTTTTTTACTGCAAATAGTAAACTCATTCCTGGAAGGAAAAAAAACCCCCAACATTCTGCTCTGATTCTCTTTCAACCCTTTGTATGTTTAGATGCTTAAAATATCTGATATTCATCTTTCAAGGAAGATCAGAAGGCAATAACCAGTGGCACAGCTCTTTATCTAAACACCCCAAAACCTTAGCTTTTGGTCTTTCCATTTCTTTCCAGACATTATTTATTTCCTAGACTCTGCAATTCTCAAATAAGCATTTTCTTACACAAAGATTATTGTGGAATGACATATGGGAGTATGTCATCTCTGTAAATTAAACAGTTCCCATGTCCATGGAATGGGACCAAGACCAAACAATATAACTTCATTTAAATTTTTCTTTACTTACTTCACTGTCAACTTATGATAAAATAAAATTCTTTTCAATAGCAACAGAGCTTTGTAAGGACATATAGAAACAGAAGTGGGACATCCAAACAGAAAGTACCAAAATTAAAACTCATTTAAATAGATGATTCCTGCATGTGTCCAGTTGTCTGTGTCTTCTCCTTCCATGAATCACTTTGAAGATGAGGTCACCCTGAGAACCTGTGAGAGAGCTAAGGCCCTGCCTAAAAATTAGGGAAAAAGATGGTAAATCAGTCCAGCATAAATAACTTAAAAAAAAAAAAAGTTACTGAGGTTCAGAGATGCATGATACTTCATTATTTATGAACATTTCATATTTTTCTGATGGTGACAAATAGCCAAAAAAGAAAAGATAAGAGAAGCTTTTTGTTGCAAAATTTCCTGCGTGCGTATACAGATCCCTGGTTTTGGTTAACTCATAAAACTGACCCTGAAATAGCCTGAACACAGCACAGACTGCTGCAGTCGAGGCAGTCACCAGGTTCTATGTATCAGAAATTCCACACTTAAGCCGTGCTGTCATTTAGACAGGTCCCACTGTAACGGTGTGTCTTCTGTCAAGCTTTTCTGAATAGACCCTTGTTCCATTTGATACTATCCTGAGGAAGCCTTATCACAGTTCTGATGCATGGTAACCTGATAAGGCTTCATTTAGAACCCTTCTATCACTATTTAACCTTAACATGCATCTGAAATCTACCCTTAAAATAGGAGGGTTTTTTTGTGGTGATGGAGTGCTCAGCAGTGGTTAAAGCAGATTAGCTAAGGGTTTTTATTACAAAATAGA